CCCCCCGGGACCCACGGTGGAGGCAGCCTGTTCCTGAAGGACAGCACCCCGTGGGAAGGAACCACGTTGGTGCAGTTTGTGAAGAGCTGCAGCCCGCGGGAAGGACTCTTGTTGGAGGAGTTTGTGGAGAACTGTCTCCCGTGAGAGGGACCTCACAATGGAGCAGGGTAATAGTGTGAGGAGTCCTCCCCCTGAGGAGGAAGAAGCAGCAGAGACAACGTGTGATGAACTGACCGTAACCCCCATTCCCCGTCCCCCTGCACTGCTCGGGGGAGGAGGGAGAGAAACGGGAGTGAAGCTGAGCCTGGGATGTATAGCACATCTCTGTATGTAATTTTAGACAACTTTTGTGACATTTTTATCTGTTGTATCACCTGTTGATACAGTTCACTATTTCTTCCAGCCATGGGACGGACTCGCAACAAGACCTTGCCACCATTCTCACCAGTGAAGGCTGGCAAGCCTGAGTACACCCGCTACACTGGTTACATTTGAATTGCTGCGTGTGTTAGACTACCACAAGATTTAAACAGACTCTTAGTTGAGATTTACATATCACAGAAGGAACACACTTGGTCAGACAAGCACCACTCAATTTTGCAGTAGGCAGATTTCAATTTGGCAGTGGTCTAAACCTTCGTGAGAGGGCACACACCTCTAATATTTCAGAGTCCATAGTAGCCTAAAGATTTGTGGGACTTTTTCAGATTTTCATTTGACTTCAGCAGAGAAATTAAGTAAGCTTTCCAAGCAAAATTTAAACTTTCTTTTTTAAGTCTACCACTGTCAGTAATAGGAAAAGGTATTTCTTCCCTATTTATTTAATATTTATACTGCAAAATCACTTATGAAATGTTCAGATATAGAAAAAATGACAGCTGATGAGTTAAGTAGGAGGTCTGCCCTGGAGTCACCTAGGGTAAGAATAGGATGTATGAAGTTCCCAACCAATTAAAAGCACCGTGCACCATGTTCAGCACCACTTAATGAAGTTTGCAGCACTAGAAGACTGCAGCAGCAGAGAGAATTGTATTAATTTTTCTGTCACACATGTGCACTATGAAAGCAAAAGCCTCATTTGTTAACTACAGAGCACCAAACTCAGCATGATTACATTTTAAGTAGACTCATACCCAGCCTGTTGATCTCCACCATGCACAGGATTAGACAGCAATGTTCTCTTTACAAAGTGCAAGCACATTCCCTTGCCAGGAGGAGCTAGAAAAGCTGTGCTGCAGTATGAGAAGTGCTTCAGAAGCAACCTACTCCATCTGAGTTAAAAAAAAAGAGAAAAAAAAGATGGGATGGATTTGGGATCACTGGCCAGCAGAAAAGAGACTGCAGCAGAGGCAGCACACAGCAAGAAAAAGAAAACTTGGCTGTGCTCGTGAGGTACAACTAGAAATATGTAGATTTACTGTCAGTGATTTATACAGGGAATATAATTTTCAAGTTTTGACATGGGCTCAGTGAAACCTCCATAAATTTTCCTCTCCTCTTTCTTTAAATCTTCCTAAGTGAGAGGAAACATCTTTCATTTAAACAATGTGAGGAACCATTGAATAACCCAGACAAATAAAATGGAGCTAAAACCTGAGAACTTTATTTATATTTTTATATTTTATATTGAGTACATCAGTGTTAAGGACTACAGAAAACACCGGAGGGAGGGATGGAAGGTACAGGAGAGGGGAGGGAACTGTGCATGGAGAAACCACAAAGACATTCTAGTGGGAACCTTTTCACAGAGTTGCATCATCCAACTTCAACATAACCCTACACGCTTCATGTGAAAATAATCTCACATAAGTTCAGCTCTGGAACTAGAGCCAGCTTTTCAACTCCTCAGGCACCTGCTCACAAGGCAAAAAAGCCAGGTGGCAGGCTGGCTTCAGTGCCTTGTGATTGCCATGTGAAGGGGAGGACGAGGAGTATGACTTGTCAGGATAAATGTAGCACTACTCCCTCATGACGCTGAATGCATTTGGACTTATTTTTTATTACTTTCTCTCTCTTATTAGTTCTAATTTTCTGTTACATAGGATTATGCTCTGAGGAGACCCAAGAATGGGAAGTTCTTCAGATGCTTTGGCCAGCGCTGGTGGAATGTGCCACCCACCTGCATATCACACCCCGAACTGGCAGGGCTTGTCACAGACAGGGGGATGCCTCTAGTCAGCTGACCGAGAGTGCCTCCCAGGCTGGAAGCCTTGTTTCATGCAGGGAAGCAAGGGAGCTGACTGCTTTCCAATTCAGATTCCCAGCCTTGGCACGCACAGCCTACAGTCTTTCCACAGACACTCCCAAAGGGAGCTGATACTATCACTACAAGCAAGAAGACCTGATGCACTGAAATATTTTCCTAGCCACTTCTCTTCATCTTGTGAACAACTACATAGTGAGAATTTTTCAACCCATAAACCACAAATAAGAGAAACTGAAGAGGGGTGTGTTAGGTGGAGAAAGGGAGAAGCAGAAAAAAAATAAAGCAAGTACAAGAAGTGGTTATGTTTCTAAAAGGTGAGGTAACCAGAGAGGTACCACGTAAGAAGAGAAGTTAGGCAAAGCAAGAAATTGGAATTATTTCACATAATAGCTGGAGATGGGAAAGTTCTGAGAGGCATCTGGAAGAGGAAATGCTCTGTAGGAGTGGAAGGAAGAAGTTAAATTAATGAAGGGAGAAGGAAAATCTAATGAAGGATTAAAAATGCCAGATGTGAAAGGGAGGAAAATCTGCATG